AGTATACAAAGATTTAAGATATTATTGCATTCATGCAACTAAAAGTTCTATTTCATAATATTTTAAAATGTGCTAAATTTCCATTTTAGTAATGCTTCAAGATTGTTAAAAAAGAAAAAAACTATAAAATAGAACTCTATCAACAAATATTGGACACAAGAAGTATATTAAAATAGATTTAAATTAAGGGTTAATATAGGTTAGTTTTTCAATTAATCAAGTGTTACTCCAATAATTCTCTTAAACGGAAAGGGTTGTTTTTAAAAAACTCTCTCAAACTTATACAGAATTGAAGTCTGGGTAAACCATTATATTTAATGTATCTAAATTTTATATAATATTCTTTTACTGCAAAAAGGTGTTAAAAAAAGGATATCTTGCATTTTTAACCTAAATTTCTTTAAATCTATAATTTGAAAAATACTTGTTTTTGATATGCCATAGACTCATCTCTACTACCAGAAGCTAATGTATTTCCATCAGGAGAAAAACAGACTGACTAGACAGTACTAGTATGACCATCTAATTTGGCTTTTTATTATCCTGTTTTGACATCCCATAGACGGATAGACTTATCACCATTACCAGAAGCAAATATATTTCCATCAGGAGAGAAACAGACTGAGTAGACATATACACTATGACCATCCAGTTTATTCAATTCATGGTTTTTAATGTTCTTCCATTTACAATTAAATAATAAAGCTTCATTTAAATTAATGCCACTTATATCTAAATTTTAAAGTTAGGATTTATATAAATTGCAACTAAAAAAATCCCTCCCACTAAAGAAGTATTTTTGAAATATTTATATTTTAAAAATTTTTGTTTCTAATTTCCACTTTTATCTAAACTGTTAAATTTAATGAATTTGAGCCATATTATATCAAGTTTTTATAATATGGATTTGAGGAAAATTAGAAATTACAAAAATTCTATTATCTATCTTTCATCCTTTATTTTTTTAATGAGATCTTGTATTGATTGGAATAGTCTATCTTCTTGAAATCATGATCCCTAATTTTTTTTAAAGACATCAATTATTTTTTAATGTTATTTCAAACCATATACTAATTCTATACCTAATCAACTTTTTCTAAATTTTTCTTCTTGTTAGAAGTATTTTTCTAGATGTATTAGATTTAAATTATCTGAAAGAAATCCTAGACAGTCTTAAATCTTCTTCTTTTTTTTAATTTCAATAATTATTCTAAATATTCTTTCTTCCACACCTTTAACTTTAGCAAAAGTTTCATAGAGATCTTCTTATTATTCATTATGACTTTACTCCAAGCTATACACTAAAATTTTTCTTTTTCTTTTTTTTAATTATGAAACTCAGGCATTGTTTAGGTATAGTTTTGATAGTAAATGAGGTAAAATGGGCTATCTAGAAGCATATTCAATATTTGCATTAAAAATTCAAGATAGAATAAAAACTTTTCCTAATATAGGTTATGCTATTGATCATTAATATATCTCGTTATTCCTGTTTTAAGCATCAATAAGGATAGTTTTTAGCTAAATATTAAGAGAAGTGAATAGGTCTGAACGCAATCTTGATCACTCCTTAATTATTATAAAATCTTTATATGATGACTCTGTGTAAAATTTAACTTTTTTATTTTTTCTTTGATAGATAATTGGCTAACTCTGTTAGCGTGAAATTTTATGCAAAATTAAGGATTTGCAGCCTATTGTAGTGCTAGTATGTGTGTACTTAATATATTATTTTAATAGCAATATTATACCTAATAAATATAAGTATTTGATCTTTTTTTTAATCCAGAGAAAAATTTAGATTGTGCATATTGTCTATCAGCAGAGAAGTAGGAAGCTTTTGATTTAAATTTTTTATTAAGAGTTGATTATCTAAACCGAGATTTTTATGGTCCTTTAGTGGCTTTGAAATTAATTTTACAACAAAATGTACATAATGTCTAAGTGTGAGAAATTTTTTCTTGATGTTTGTAAATGGATTCCAATAAATCTATAAATCTTGCTAGAGTTACAAATTAATACTTTGATACTCAAAACTTGCAACTGATTCAAAAATTTAAGCTTCATGCCCTTTTTTTGTTTACCAAGAATCTTCTTAAGTAACCAAATATGAAAATGATATTTTTACTTATTTAGAATTGAAATCATACTCAAAACCCACCAGTTTGGCTAAGATTTGAGGATCCAAATGATAATCCATAAAATAAATCAGTTTAATACCTAAATTACTGATGGATGCTTCTCGGTCTGTCAATATAACATCAAATAACATTAGTACATCTCAAGTATTGTAGTAATTCCTTCATAAATTTGTTTGACATTTACAACAACATCAGCTAACACAAATAATATTTGCGCTATTTATATACCTAATTTCAATCCTATAATTAAAGGAACATGCTCTTTTTCTGCTAAATAATGATTAATGAAATAAATAGGAGGAATATCTAATATAACTTATGATTTTTGTACTCATAAGTTTTTTCTCTAAACTGCTTTTTCAACTAGTGATGGGTTTCTTGAATGTTAATCTAGCTCCAACTATACAACATATTTTATTGTGAGATTAATACTGTTGGTTTCTTCTAAACCTAAGAAATATTCATAATTTAAAATTCCTTTATATTTTAATAATTAATTAAATCACAATAAACTCTATTCAAAGTGAGCTCTTAATTTTTATGCTTCTTGATTCATGTCTTCTTCACTTCTTTCTGTTTTTTAATTTTCTGCTTGAGAAATCAAAATCTTTCCTGAATAAGGTATAATATGGCAATGAACACTTGGTATTGTTTACCCAGCATGTATCCCATCTTAAATTGATACATGGCAATTTGTCTAAATTGATCAGATTAATACTTTGTAAATATCAGACATCACTTTTGTAACTTCTTGGACAGTTATCCAAAATTCTACAGTTTCTACTTCTGTCATATCATATAGCCTTTTCACAGGTCTTCTTGAACAAACTAATACATGACCTTTGATGATTTATCAATATAAACCTGGTGCCACTGGTTTTAAATTTACTGTAGCGAATACATGCCTTCTTAAAATGAATAGTTGAGAATATGGTAATTAAACTGGTCCAAATTGAACAAACTATTATATTGGTTTGGGCATTTTTTTAATATATATTATTTTAGTTTATTTCAAATTAGAAAATCTAGATGGCTTTTTTTACTAAAACAAAATCTAAATGATACATAGCATAGTTTTTAGTTTTGATAAAATGAATAGTACCTAATTAATAATTTTTCGAATTTCTAGAATAAGAAAATGATCACTAATTATTAATCTTCTTTATAAGAATATGAGTGGTTTTGGTATGTATAAAGTATTTTCTTATTTGTATTTATGAACTTCTATTAGCATTTATTAAATCAATTAAGATTTATATGAATTGAGAAAAAAGCAACTTTTTCATTATGAATTTAACTATAATAGTGCTAAAAATTTTTGTTTCTACTTAAATTTAACCAAAATTTGAGTAAACCATGCATATTTTATGAAAGGCAATAGCCATAAATTAAATTTTATTCTTAATATCATTATGTAATTTAGCATTTAGATCTAATTGTTATTATTGTTGCTTATTATTTAATGATTGAATTTAGTTTTGAATTTCAAACCAAAAAAAAATGTAAAATTAAATATGCCTAGAATGCTTCTAAAAATAAACTCCTCTATCCAAAAATATCTATAAAAATGCTCTTAAAAAATTCTGAAGGGGTAAAATAAGACCTTTGAAATGTCATTTATTGCATAAATTATCACTCTTAAACAAAAATTAAATTATAAAAAATAGAAAGATTATTTATATGTTTGTAAATTAGAATAAATTGCTAGAAGAAATTAATAACTAATTTAAATTGTTATCAAATTTGTTATACCCTGAGTATTTTGACTCTTGAATTATGATTATAAACATTACTTTACCAAGCAATTCTGAAATTTAATTAAGAAACTTTGTTTACTCGGCTTTAATTTAATCTTTTGTGAGCTTGCCTTTAATAAATGCTTTCACAGTTGTTGATTCTGACAGATCATTGTCACCCTTTGCAAGTCATTTTTCTGGATGTTCTAATTTACTCTCCCAGTTAAAAATCAGATCCAAATGGGAGGACAAATTATCCTTATCCAGCTTAAAATTGCAATAAAAATTTGGAAATATAATATGGATCAGATTTTTTGTTTGCTTGTAATTCAGCATATTAAAATGTATCTATAGCTTTGGTTGCAGCCTCTCCAACATCATTAGAAATCTATATTCAAGATTAAAAACTACGTTATATGGAGTTTGCATCATAGCTTCAAAAAGTGTCGTTAGTTATTCTCTATTAAAATTGCTGAGTTAATCGACACTAACTCTCTACAATGTGTCCCAGAAAAGTTCAGATCCTGGTTATTGACAGAAAAATGATGAGCCATATCATCAATCTCAGCAGGTATCAATTATTTTGGTTGAAGGGCTAAATATAGATATGAATTTACATGTTTCAATTTATTTCCATTAGTATGATGAGGATGTATTTTTAAAAGAAAGGAGTTACAGCAAGAATTCACTGAATATGAAATGTTATTTGTTATGAAATTGTTAAGTTGATTTTGGGTTAACAAATTTTTAAGTTTGTTGGTGACTGTGAAAAATATGAAATGACATTAAGTGTATTTGACTAATGATTACATAATAATTAAATTAATATTTGCAGAGTATTCAGATGAAACAATTCTCCCTGTAGTGAAGGGTGGAATAATTACAATAAATTTAATTAAAGAAAAAATTAATAATAATCTTCTATCATAACTTCTAATTGTTAAAGTCAAGATAATAAAAAATAGCTAAAGGTTATCAAGCACCTATCAACTTGGTTTCAGTCTCCATAGATTCCATCTGATACAAATAATTAAGCCATTTTATTGTAATAAATAGGATTATTTGCAAATTCCTTAATTTTTGTAAACAACTAGTTTATATCTAATAATTCTTAATTCAACAATGCTGCCCTGTGGTGATTGAGGAAATGTAATACTTATTTTTCATATATCAAGGCTTTAAGAGGAGGCTCTAGAATAGAGATTTTCCTTGAAAAAAGTTAGTGATGGAATAAATTGCTTAGGAAGTTTTTGAGCATGTTTCAAGAGAGAATGATTACTGACGATTATGAAGTCGTATATGTGAACGAATACATTCCCCAGTATTTCGGAAAAAATATTGGTCATCCATACTGCTATCACATATTGAGGTTGTTAGGACAATAAAAAAACAGATTATAAAATAGTTTTAGAATTAAATTTTATGAGGATTACAATACAGTTTTAATTTTAGAACAGTGGAGTGTTATTCAGAACCTTTTGATTATCAATAAATATATATAACACAACAATATTAAATAAAGTTAAGTAATTTCTGTTATATTCAAAAAAAATTCAAAATGCCAAACAATTATTACTCATTCAAACATAGCTAATTTTTTTTCTGTTGCAACTTCCTATTACCAACGATAAAAGATTGCATATATTTAATTGCTAGCAATCAATATTAAAGGAAAATCTCCTATAATTAAAAAAAAAATATGGGTTACTCATGGAGAATTGACTTAAATAAGTTGAAAAATATTGAACGTTATCTCCAAAAACAACTGCAGCCTCTGAATAATTAACTAGTCAATTTATTTTCAATATATTTTTTAGGCTTTTTTTTTAGTGATTCTTAGCTTAGAAGATCACTGGATAGAAAAATTTTTGTTGGCAAACAAGTTTTGAAATATTATTATAATTCGTAGGGAATGTTTTTCAACCCTTTTGGATTGGAGTATAAATTCAATTCTTCTTCCTGAAGAAATCATGATTGTGGCGATTGCATTATTACTACTGATCTTTCTAATAAATCAATTGCCCTTTCATTAAGATACTTTATCTTTTGAAAATAAATTGAATTAACTTTCTGTAATGAAAAAAATGAAAGGATAGTTTTCTGAGATAATTGATATTTTTACTTAAAAGTAGAAATTTATTCATACTCTTATATCAAATAAAATCATATTGTTCATTTTTAGTACAATTAAAAAATTATGAAATTTAAATGTTTAATTAATTAAATAAATTGCTGTTGCTCTATATAATTAAACACTTCTCTTACTTTTTAAATTCTTAGATGATATTCCCAAAAATTATTTAATTTATCTACAAAAGACTTCATCATCAATATTTGTATTAACATTTGTAAAATATTTTGTAAATTATATTTATATATTAGTTAATTGATTTGATATATATAAAATAGGTAATTTAACAAATTCAATCAAAATATTCAATTTTTATTTATTTGATTATCTCATCTGCAGAATTAAATTAGAAATATTCGTATTCTTCTCCTCCATAATGTTTAGAAACAATTATATAAAATTAACTTAGTAATGATAAGGAATTTTATATAATTTCTGTAATGTAAATCTTAAATAAATATAAAATTTTACTTAAATTTAATCAAATGTACTTCTATCTAAATAGTTATTTAGTTTAAGATTAATCTCCTAGATGAAATCAATTATATTTTCATAAAATAATGAATAAGATCTTTTAATTGAACTTTGTGTTATTAATAAATTGAAATCTTTTTAGGCCTAACCTAATTTCTATTCATCCTTTTCTATTAATTAGATATTAGTTTTTACCTTCTACTAATTTATGTTATAAATATTAATAATTTCTAATATATTAAATTAATGTTTTCGCAACTATAAAAGTCATGTCTTTAACAAATTAAAAGAGCATTAGATTTTTTTGATTCATAAGATTATTCTTCCAATCAACTTCATATTAGTTGATTTTAGGCATCCCTTTATAGACAAATTAAAAGAAATTTGTAATATAAGTCCATAATTTTTCAGGGGATGTTAATTCTACCCACTATATTTCTGGTCTTAATTATCCTGTTATTAATTAAAGCAAAACTGATTTTGTTTCACTAAAGTCAAGTTCACTTTCCTTTACTATATAATCTCCTCCTAATTATGCCAATCCATCACATAAATAGATTATATTTTTTAAATAAAATATGTAACTATCAAATTTTACCTAATTTCAATATATGTATACATCAAATTGTTCTGCAACTAATTTCAACTAAGAATTGATTTCTCNAATAAATTGAATTAACTTTCTGTAATGAAAAAAATGAAAGGATAGTTTTCTGAGATAATTGATATTTTTACTTAAAAGTAGAAATTTATTCATACTCTTATATCAAATAAAATCATATTGTTCATTTTTAGTACAATTAAAAAATTATGAAATTTAAATGTTTAATTAATTAAATAAATTGCTGTTGCTCTATATAATTAAACACTTCTCTTACTTTTTAAATTCTTAGATGATATTCCCAAAAATTATTTAATTTATCTACAAAAGACTTCATCATCAATATTTGTATTAACATTTGTAAAATATTTTGTAAATTATATTTATATATTAGTTAATTGATTTGATATATATAAAATAGGTAATTTAACAAATTCAATCAAAATATTCAATTTTTATTTATTTGATTATCTCATCTGCAGAATTAAATTAGAAATATTCGTATTCTTCTCCTCCATAATGTTTAGAAACAATTATATAAAATTAACTTAGTAATGATAAGGAATTTTATATAATTTCTGTAATGTAAATCTTAAATAAATATAAAATTTTACTTAAATTTAATCAAATGTACTTCTATCTAAATAGTTATTTAGTTTAAGATTAATCTCCTAGATGAAATCAATTATATTTTCATAAAATAATGAATAAGATCTTTTAATTGAACTTTGTGTTATTAATAAATTGAAATCTTTTTAGGCCTAACCTAATTTCTATTCATCCTTTTCTATTAATTAGATATTAGTTTTTACCTTCTACTAATTTATGTTATAAATATTAATAATTTCTAATATATTAAATTAATGTTTTCGCAACTATAAAAGTCATGTCTTTAACAAATTAAAAGAGCATTAGATTTTTTTGATTCATAAGATTATTCTTCCAATCAACTTCATATTAGTTGATTTTAGGCATCCCTTTATAGACAAATTAAAAGAAATTTGTAATATAAGTCCATAATTTTTCAGGGGATGTTAATTCTACCCACTATATTTCTGGTCTTAATTATCCTGTTATTAATTAAAGCAAAACTGATTTTGTTTCACTAAAGTCAAGTTCACTTTCCTTTACTATATAATCTCCTCCTAATTATGCCAATCCATCACATAAATAGATTATATTTTTTAAATAAAATATGTAACTATCAAATTTTACCTAATTTCAATATATGTATACATCAAATTGTTCTGCAACTAATTTCAACTAAGAATTGATTTCTCTAAGTGTTTCTCCTGCCAACTATCTAAATATGACTTAATCTACTGATCTTTGCATTTTTGTTATCAGATCTAATCCAAATATTACTGCAGGGTAAAGATCACTTCTTTAGATTTCGTAACCTTTTGGAATTGGCTAAGTTTTTAAAAATTTATGAATAGTTAATTTTTATTTTTATCTAATATAATCTTTAGGGGAATATGAGTATATTTTCTATTAAATTTATACTTAAGATGATTGTATGGATTTGTGAATGATATCTAAATTAATTTTCTCTAGAAACAAATTTGTAAAGATATTTAAATAATTCTAAAAGCATTCAACAATTTATGATTAATCCTAAGTATATATATGAATAGAATACTTTTCCTTATGAGATTATTTAAAATATTGGAAATAAATAATCAATTTCATCTAATGAGTTTTCTTTTATTTTCTAAAAGACTTTTGCTGTATGATTTTTTAATTATAATAATGATTCACTAATCATGACTAATTAATCTAAATTATATATTTTCTACAAAAATATTCTTACTGTCTAATAATAATTATCAAGAATTCTTGATAAATGTTATTTATCATTTTCCTTAACAATTCTTAAATTTAATCTGAAAAAAATTCTTGAATAAAATGCTTCTATTACTGTAGTTTCAAAAATTATTCCACATAATGCTTCAAATACGAGTATTTCTTACTATTTCTATAAGTGCTATTTACTAACTAATTTTTGTTAGATTAGGCTTTGATTAATTTTATACAAAATCTAACCTGTTTAATTAAGATTATTGGATTGTTTATTAATTAAATCATTAATTTATTAGTGTAAATTTAATCTATTGTAAAAGTTATATTATAAAAACACATCATTATACAATGAATATAGATCCTAATCTCCTTATATTTAAGACTCAATATAAAGAAAAAGATCTTTCATTTATTCTGTTATGTTGAATTTTTAAAATTCTTCTTCATATTGATAATTATTTTTTAATTAAACATCCTTTAATTTTAATTATGGAATTAATTATGGGAAAATAATCTATAAAAATTATAGCTTTAATGGGTTAGGTTAAAGGATATTATTCTCATCTGTATTTAAATCATAATAACCAAAAAATCTTGGAGGGTAAAATACACAAATTAAGTCTTTCAATTAGGAAAATTTCTGATTGATAAATTATGATTCTTTGTTTAAAAGTTTCATTAAGGAGCTTTTGCAAGTTCCTAACAATCTTTTCTTCAATTATTAATATTATATAATACATTTATCACTTTGATAATAATTAGGTTTTGAAGAAAAGAATATTATACCTTCTTGAATCTCACTAATTAATACTTAATAATTAATTTCCTTTTTATCATCACTCTCTAAATCTCTAGAAATTTTTTAAATATTATAGTAATATTGAATGTTTTCTTGAATTTGAAATTGGTATTCTAATAATTCTTTTTATTTATTAATATGAATATTAGCTTCTTAATGAAATTGACTTATTTTTTATACAATCTTATCTTTGTCATCATTCAATTTCTTCAACTAATCACAAATTATCTCTAAATTTTATGTGATACTTTAAAGTGATGATAATTTCTATTAATATTATCCTTATATCATTTCTAATCGAAAAAAGTCATCATTTTTCTTATCTTGTTTCTTATAAAATTAAAAATTAGTGGGTTTATCTTTTTCTTGAGGTGGTTTTTGCTGTTAACTTTCCATTTAATCTATAAGAGCTTATTCCTCGAGAGTTAAAGCATTGCTTTATTCCCACTAAACAATATTGATTTACATAAATTATTTAAGAATATTTTATATATATATTTATTTAATAGCAAAATTAATTGTTATTTTTATCAATACTTATCTAATGTTTTTTATTTTCAATAATAAATTTATCATCTTATTATTTTGTTAACCTTTAGACTAAATGTTACATTAATTTAAAAAGCCAAAAAAAAAAAATTTGGAATTGATTAGGTAATAATTTATGAAAGTGAAAAAAAAAATTTTTATTTATTTTTTTGAATAAGATGATAAATATACAATTATAGAAACATCTAATGCATAAATTAGATTGTAATTTAAATAAATTTTGGATATTAGATTAAAATCTATAGATTTCATTAAAAATTGAATAATATAAATATCAACAATCAAGAAATTTCATAAAGCTCATGATTGTTTAAAGGATTCAACTATATTAATAATTAAATTGAATGTTAATTTATTAGATATTTTAATATATTGATTCACTTTGTTCATTATGATAACTTTTATTAAACAGATCTTGGAGTAGTAAGAGTTTTAAATGATATTGGTTTTTATTGCATTTTTGATTTGATGTTATTGCTTATTTAATGACATGTCTTAGCTCCAATATTCCTTGTTGATAATAAGTTGTTATTAAACTTTCTATTATAATTATGATATAGATATTACCTAGATGAACTATCATGAAAAGTTTGTGTTTTGCCTACCTTGCAATTGGACTTCGGTGTCATTTTGGATGTACATTAAGTTTTCATATTTCTTGGAGATTTGAAAAAGTTTTCTTTTTTATCTTCGCAAAAATGTACACTCTTAATTTCTCTAGATGGATCTTTATTCTATACTTATGTTCTTTTTTTTAATTAAAGCTTTTCGGTTACTCTTTAATGTACTTCATTAAGATAAATTAATTACATTATTCTAATATTTGTTGGTGTTTTAGTTTTGGTTTTGGCAGATCCAACTAGCCACATTAATCAGGATGAATGATTTTTAATTATCTTTTTTAAGAAGTTATCAATGATTTAATATTTTTGATTTTATCATTTGTAAGAAGTTATGATAATTTGAATTCTTTGATTATATTATTATTATCTTATTGTCTTTCAGTTTTTAATTTTTCAATTTTTAAAAGTTATTGATGAATATCATTGTGATTGTTGTTATTTATTTTTCCACGTATTTTTTCTTAATCATGTTTAGAATAAGAAGGAGTATTTTGTAATTCATCAAGTACATTCCCAACAATGATTCCACTTTCAATGGTGTGAGATGGAGGAGTACTTTCAGTTTAAATTGGTTCATCACCAACTATACCTTTTGGAGGCTTCTCTGGATTATTTTTGTTTTCTTCATCAATTATTTTCTAAATTTTGTAATATTCGAGCTTTCTTTTTTAATTATAATATTCATTCAAGATATTTACAATAGAGCTAGAAACAGCCCATCTAGGTAAATCATTGTGAAACTAAGATATTGATTAAATTTTTACTTTATAAAATTCTGTTAAGACTTCCATTTTATTGTCTAAACTATGCGGTTAATATATTTTTTTCATGTATTCAACATCTTCATCCAATAATACTAAATCCTAATTTAAATATTGTAAATAATTACTTTGAATACTATATTAGGTTTAGTTGGTTGGTCTAATATGATTTCATTGATATCCTTGGTAAAATAGTAATTTTGTGATTCAGCATATTTATTATAAAGAGAATTAGTGATCCTCTCTGGTAAGGATACTTTCTTGATAATTAATTTAATTTCAGTCTACCTTTAAACTGCATTTCTTCGAAGTTATTGCCATATAAAGTCTTCCGAATCGGCTAACAGAAAAGACATTTCATTTAATTAAAAAAAATATTAATAATAATTAAAAGTAAAAACAATATATCTTCATTTTCTCATAGCAATGCTATTACTTTTTAACTACTTCTAATTGACTATTTTTCCAGGTTGTCTTAAAATCATTGTGATTGATCTTTCTCTTGTTTATTATACAATAGGTATTTCTTCTTAAGAACTTTATTTATTAAATGATTATCGAACAATACAACCTTGTTTTTGTGGTATCTAAGGTCTAGCTAACATATACAATAGCAATATTACTTGGTGTTTGAATTGTAAAATAAATTATTATTATTATTATTATGAAAACTATTATTATTAGCTCTTCTCTTTTTAGTTAATTAAGAGATAAGTGCAGGCAAATCTAATTCTAATAATTCTTGTGTCATAGATTAATTCTAAAAATTATCAATTGATTAATAGTTTCCATTTGTGGCTCTTTTAGGTTAATAAGGTTTCTTATCTATATTATTATGCATAACAACTAATTACATTGATTAGACTTAATTTATTATTGTTAATAGGATTTCTGCTTTTATAAATACTCAACGCTTTCATTAACATGTTTTTTACTATTGGCTCTTCCTTTTTCTGTTAATTCTGTTGTTGTTGTGCAAGTATTACGATTTCTATTTTCTTTTTCTTATAAATTCCATTTATTTAACTATTTTCTTTCACCTTCACTAGTATTTAATGTATCAAAAGTGACAGTGTTTTATTTCCTCATTGAATGTGTTGTTTCTGGGATTTTTTGAAACTATTAAGGTGTATCACTGTCGAATAAATTAGGAGCTCTGACACTTAATATCTATAAGAATTTCATATGTATTGTACTGAGCTGTTTTATTGATCAATTTTTATGAACTCATCTTCATCTGATGAAGAGCTATTCTCTGGAGAGATATCAAACACTATATTTTGTTACATTTTAAATTAAATATTTATAAAATAGCAGTTAATCCTATAAATATCATTCTTATTCGTCGAACATATTATTCAATCAATTTCTTGAAATCAATTCTAATCTTTTCTAAATTAATAGTTGTAAAAATATCTATATAAAAAAGCTATGTAAAATAAAACTTGGGATATCATTATTCAAAATTAAATTAGTATTTCTCAGTTTAAATTCTATATATTTCAAATATTATATATTATTTCATAATGTATTTTATTAATTTCATGTTGTAATGAAAATTAATAAAAAAAGTTATGACATAATTTTTCTCTTTTTTTGATTCCTTCTGTTATTGATTCTTTATTAATAATTATTTCATATGGAAATGTTTGATGATACAATACGAGAATTATTGAGTAAAAACACAGACATAGCAAAAATTGTTGATTTAGAAAAACTTTCATAACAACCAGGATTTAAGATTGAATAAACTAATAGCTACGTCTACATTGGATAAGTGTAAAATGGGTTAAAGCACGGAACAGGTAATGTGAATCATATTTACATAGGCATATTAAAACTTTTAGACTCTTTTAGAATTTATGTAGGAGAATGGAAAAATGATAAAAAGAGTGGGCTTGCATATGAAAAATTTTAAAGTGGAGCTGAATATTTTGGCAATTATGATAACAATAAGTAAAATGGGTATGGAGAATATGTATGGGCAAATGGGGAGAGCTATAAAGGGAACTGGATAGATGGGAAGAAAAGTGGGTATGGTGAATGGTTTGGATAAAATACTTCCTATAAGGGTGAGTGGAATAATGGCTTTGTTGAAGGAAAGGGAGTTTATTAATCTGAAAATGGTATTTTTTGAGCTCATAAGTCAGGGGATTAGTATACAGGAGACTTTTTATAATCCATGAAGCATGGTTTGGGGGAAGAGTAATTTGCTAACGGAGACAAATATGTGGGCAGTTTTAAGAATGGTAAGCCGGATGGCTATGGGGAATATTATTGGAAAAATGGAAGTTTATATCAAGGTAAAGATAGAGTTGATCATAGGTTTCTTTATGGATGGCATGAGACATGGCCATGGTGTTTGGTAATCTAATACTTAAGGTAAAATAGATAGGTATGAGGGAGCTTATTCTAATGATAAAAAATGTGGATATGGAGAATTTATATGGTCAAATGGTACAGTTTATAAAGGGAATTATTTTGATGATTATCGGTAGGGTTATGGAGAGATGTATTAAAATGGAGTTATTTTTTACAAAGGAGAGTGGGATAGAGGAATATAAGTGGAAAAATCTAACACAAGATTTTAATTGTAATAGAAGATGAAAACTCAAGAAACTACAGCCAGGAAATGGAAGTTCAATAATATTGATGAAATTTAAGAATTAGAGGAAGAAACAGTAACGTCTGGAGCTGAAGGTAAAAAAGAAAACAATCCTAAGATAACATAAAAGAATCCCCAATAATGTCGAATGAAAACCTTGAATGTAGAGAGCAAACCTTCAAATAGTGATTTTACCCCTATGAAACGAAGTCTTTAATTATAAAAAAAAGCTACTCCTGCAATTCAAACTAGAAGCAGAACTCAATCTATGGGTAATTGTAAAATACCAATTTTATAACAAAAATAAAGATCAAATTCGAATTAAATTAATAACAACTAAAAACTTGAGCAATTGGTTAAATTTTCCCCTTATAAGCAAACGCTTAGAATTGGAAGATTTAAACTTTAGAAAATATAACTATGAAGTCAAATCTGATATCATCTTTTGTGAATATAGTAATAAGGTTTTTAACTAATCATTATTATTATAATCTTTATCTACAAACAGGACATGTATCATTTATTTCAGCCCATGGCCGAATACAATCTGAATGAAATACATGATTTGGATTGCAAGTTAATTTAACTATTAGATCATCGTTTTCATAATTTTGTAAACAAATATAACAAGGCTAAAAGGTTTGACCATTTAATTCAGAGAATTTAAATTAAGTTCTTGTTAACCTTAGTGCTTGTTCTTATCTTCTTCTTTCTTCTTCTAACCTTTAGCGATATGCTTTGTATATCAAAAATGGCAATATCAAACATATTGCAAGTAAGCCAAGAGTGATTGTTGCTAAAACTACCCATCCAAATATCAATTGAACAACTAAAATCCATTTACTAAGCAATAAAGTATTTTACAAAAACACAACATTTCCTAAACCGAACATAATAATATAAACAAATTAATTGCATTTGTTTAAAGCTGCATGATTTCCCTTAACTGCAGCCCAAACATCGATTTAATCATTCAATTATTCTATAAATTATCTTGAACTTTCAGAAATTATTTCTACAGTTTTTTTTATTTGGATTACGCTAAACAGATGAAATGAATATTGTAATAATCTCCAAATCAAGTAAAAAATTGATGCCTTTTAATATTCATACAACCAAGGTAATGAAATATAACTTATGACAATTATCAATTATATATTAAGGTACAATTACATTGAACTTAGTGAGCTTCTGATCTTTTTACACTATTCTTCTATTACTATTATTCTTTCTAAAAGAGTTTAATCATCCATTATATTAAAATATATTAATAATATAAATATTAGTCTAAATATATGAAAAAATAAATTATATTAGATAATATATTTGATTATAAATACTTCAAACAAATAAGAAGTATTTTTTTTTAAATCAACTAAAATTATAATCTGTAATTCAGACGAAAAAATTAGAATTCATTATATTTTACTTAAGGAACTATCAATCATTGTTTATTGATTAAAAATTTATTATAAAATGATGTAAATCTTTCAAGTTCATTTATTTTACTAAAATCTGATTGAAATTAGGTATCTAATATTTCTATAAATCAAATTATTTCAAATGACATCGAAATATAATTTTTTAATTTTATTTGGAATACATTCTATGTAAATCATTTCTGAACTTTTAGTTCATTCAATTTTTGCTCGCCTCAATTAACCATTTATAAATATAGATAAAGAGAAATCTGCTAGTATATTTCTCTACTCAATATTTAATTTTATATCTTAACATCTAGAAGATATTATCTATATCAATTATTTTTAGGAGTAAACAGTATGATGAATCTAATTGAATGTTAAAATAAAAATAAAATGAAATTAATATATTTAGGACGAAATTGTTGAAAAATGAAATATAAAAGTATCAAATCCTTCAACCACTTTTAACAGCTACACAAAATTATCTTAGAATACTGTTTGCTCTCAAACAGTTATGTTTTAATTCAATTCATGAATTGCGAAGCAATTTACTACTTACTACAAGCATTTCTTCTATTTTTGGTAAGAGTAATAATAATTTTTCTAAGTCAGCATCAATTTTTCTTCATAACAACATTCGATTATTTAAGGTCCTAGAATTATAAAATGTTATTAAGATTTGCTCATAATCATATGGAAAATTAAAACCGAGTTTCTTTAATTTGTATTAAATTCAACTTTGGATTCTGCCATTGTAAAACTATAAAGGAGATAGGAAATTCTAAAATTTAATGTGCTTTTCTAAATCTGTTTTATCTAAATTTATAATCTATAGAATTTATTTAAATAATGGAAAGTTATATCTTATAATATTATATTATATTACTATATCATAAATAAATATTTATTTGTGAATAGTTTATAATATTATTTTATTTTAAATATTTGCATCCTATGAAAAAACAAGAGGATGATTTTATTAAGAGAATGAAATTATATGAAAATAAATTCATTTTTTTAACAGAACAATGCAAAGTAGTAATAAAAGAAACAGATTCCTAATTCGAATAATAAATTAATTTTCCAAATCCAGTATATGATGCAATATGTTATAATGATTTGCTAATAACATCAATAAGAAATATGCCTGTAATGATATAGAAATAAAATAAGATAGATTGTTATTTATCAGAAAGAAGATGGAGAATGGAAACAATAAATGAGATTACATGATATCAAACCCAATTCTGAATTATTTTTAGCTCCATTAGATCTGAAGAGACTAACTGTAAGAATTATCATTATAATAATTTAGGAAAGTAACAATGTAATTGGATGTGGAAAAGGGTTCTTGCATGAATATGATTTATAGAAATTTTCGATCATAAATTACAAATGCATTAAAAATTATGAATATATTTCATGTTTAGATAGTTGTGAATAAAATGAAAATTATGGGATAGCAAAAAATATTTTATTATTGGGTTAATTCAATAAAATTATTAAAATTGTTGATACTTTATAAGATAAACAAATTGGTGAAGCAAAAGTTCACATCGGAGGAATAACCCATTTGAAATTTGATAAGTTGGATTCATTATATTTTTATTCTTGTGCTAGATTTGATGATTACATTTACTAATGGGTATTTTACACTAATAAATTAAGGATTTGAGAAATACGAGTACATTTTTATAATATTTTGAGAGAAAAAATCAGACAAATTAAAGAATGAATTTTGATATAAATCATAAAAGAGAATTGTTAGTGGGGAATGATGATGGAACTGCTTATGTTTATAAAAATGATTTGAAAAAAGTTGAATTTTTAATTTCAAATTCATGTGTCCATTCTAGTATCATTTAGGATGACGGGAAATGTTATGTTAGTTTTGGATAAAGAAATTTTGATGAGAGCAAAACTTTTCAAACAGGGATATAAAACTTCACAATCAACTAATGATTTTTGATATTTAAAAATAAAATTTATGTAAAAAAGAAATCATTTCGCAAACATATAGTCTTACCAAAGTTGAGAACTTGCATTAAATTAGTAAAAGATACTATCTTAGATAAAGCTTAGATAATATATAAATGTTTGAAGTTTTTATATTTACTATATTTTAATAGAGAGTATAATGGATAATAGATATGAAATAATTTTTTTTATTTTAATTAATGTATTCCTAATGATTATAAAGTATAACTATAATGATTTATGCACAACAATAAATTATATATATTTTTCTATAAATTATTCTTTTTATTGTCTAAAAAATATATAGAATAAAATTAATAATATATATCAATGTTTAGAGGATCTCATTTTATCTTCCTAAGTTGTATTTTATTGGCTATAGTTTCATGCGAATTCATTCCAACAGATGAAGCCAACTTTGCTTTATTTAATGTCATAAAACAAGCTTATAATAGTGGTAAATATTAATTATATATACAATAGATAATTTTGCACTTATATATCAATAATTGGATGATGAAGTATAGTAAGCATTGTCTTTGAAACAATTTGAAGAAGTCCTTGTAACAAAAAAAAGTAAAACTGGACCAATTGAATACTGGTCATATTCTTCTCCAATTCCATAGCATCCAATCTTCATTCTTGGATTCTAAAAAAATTTGGCAGTTGGATCCATTGAATGGGAATATTAAGAAACAAAATTTAAAGTTTTCTTATTAAAAGAATTTGTGGAACCAACATTTGTTGAGTTCTTAAAAAGAAATCCAAGTCGAACCTCTTTATCAGCCAAAACAGATGATATAGAAATACTTAATTATTAAGGAAATAGATAATAAGATTTAATGAGTGTGTTCAAAATCACTGTAGCAATAGAATTTTCAAGATAATCAGCAGAAGGTATTATTGATCCTGAAACCTGGGTACCACTTGAAGATGTTAATAAATATTACTTGAAAGATGTTGATACATCTCATACTTAGTTTTTGGAAATTTGGAATCAAATGGGAAAGATTAAAGATGATAAGATCCAATTGATCGAAATAGCAAATGGTATGATTGCACTTAGCTCTAATACTAATACTGAATATTTACAAACAATTTTAACTATGGAATCAATAGAGAAAACAATTTAAACAATGAAATTAGAGTAAACTCAATCATATTATTTATCATCACTCTTTTTAGTATTTTTAAATTACGATAACAAAGATAGAGATGATTATATTAAATAAATTTCTTCATTTACTCCTGAATATGTTTTAGAAAAATCAAATTAAATTCATTCAATTTTAGAATAAGGAGGTTAAGAAGCATAAGATCTATTAGCTAGAGGAAAAGAGGTGTTAGATGGATAAGTTTTAGGAATTTAAGCTTAAACATTCACAAAAGCATCTACTTCAGCTTATGTTAATCTATTAGATAAACTTAATAAATAGGAAATATTCAATAGTAAATTTTATGATATTTTTTATCCTATAATTGGGTATGTATCTATGAAGAATCCATTCCTTGCTAAAACATACAAACATGTTGGAGTAAGTTATATATTTATTCTAAGGTTAAAGGTGGTTCTTCAGCTTATGAAAAAGATACTCAGTGTGTTTTAAGTATTGCTTAATTTTAAGAATTATACAATCCATTCCCTTATAGTAAAACAACATATGCTTTATTTACTTAAGATCTAGATTATGAAACAGAATATGCTCCTCTGATTACACAATTTAACTATTTCACTGGATTAATAAGCTTAAATGGATATTATTTATAAGCTGTATCGAAAGCTCTAACTTCAATTTCCTTAGATGAGAATATATTTGAACAATGATTATTATATTAATGAAAATTAAATTTATTATAAATTATCCATAAAAAAATATATCTTAAAAAATAGATAAAAATTAAATTAATATTTATACAGTAAAAATTTATCATATCTTTCTACTCTCGATATTTTATCTTATCTATCTATTTTATTATCGTTATCTAAAATATCTAATAAGATTATATACTAATATCTAATTAAATTTTAATCTGATGCATGTCTTTAATAAGTTTCGATTGGATAATAATGGTTGTAATTTACATGAATTTAATTACATTATGGTTAGTATTCTTATTTTGATAGCCTTTCATTAGAAATTAAATTTGAAGATAAAGGTCTTGTCTATTTTGTAGTTGATTAATTTTTATTAATTGTATTAGATTCACTCTGTTTTGTTTTAACAACTCTTGCTTAAACTGGAAATACTTATGATCTTTCTAATTTATGCTACTCTACTCTTGCTGGCTATGCAGATTAAGGATGTTAATATCTATCAGATATTGGTCGTTATTGATGATTTGACGAATAAATTTAAGAGATTGGAGCTGCTGATTAGGGAATTTATTATCTCTTCATTGTAATGTTTTCTTAATGAACTATTGGCTAACGTATCTAATGACTTGGATTACTAATATTAATTGATTAACTTATTTAAGATCTACATTACATTTGACTTTATACTACTCTATTACTAAGAATTTATAATTATCATTACTTATTATATTAAGGTAATTCTACTTTTCTATTTATGGGAGAGTATGAATGTTTTTAGATTCCATGCTATTATTGATATTATCCATATTATCCATGTTATCTGGTCTAGGATATTGGAGAGATTCTTCTATTTTCAGCAATAAGTTCTTTTGAGGCATCTCGAATTTGTTTTAAATCTCTTAATTCTCGATATTTTGAATCTTGGATTTCTTATTTTCTTAATTCTTAAATTGCTTTAAGTTCATTTTCCCTTTTTATTCTTAGATTTTCAGATTCTTTGATTTTTTAAATTTAAGAATTCTTAATATTAGAATCTCCTAATTATGATCCTTTCTCATAATTTTAGTAACGCTATTATGGTAAAGCAGATTTTGGTTTTTCCATTTTTCTTGATGCAGATGGTCTAGGACCTTGAACTAATAAAGGATGCTTATTTTATCTTTCTAAGTAAGCTACACTTTTAGTTATATCAGTAATTTATCTATCTTTAACTTAGCTTAATCTAGAATCTTATTATGTTTTAATGATTTATTATGGAGATCTAAAAGGACTAGATGAATTTTCTGTAGATTTATTTTCAATATTTCTTTCAATACTCAGAATTTCATTATCATATTTAGATTTAGGAAATTGAGAATTTAATTAATCAATAGTTCTTGGGATTTATATTGTTTTTAAAAGTTCTTAATTTTATGGTTAATTATTAATATGAGTTTCAATATCTCTCATTTTATTTTGAATTATAGGCATTTTTAATAATTCGTCACAATTAGGCCTTTATGAAGATTATGTTTTTAATAACAATGAGATGATTTAAGCAAGATCTTTGGAATATTTTGATGGTATTTAATCATAAAAACCTTTTTATACTTTTTAAAAAAGGACATCCATTTCTTTTGCTCTGAATGGTGTTTACAAACAACACATTTCATAAAGAACACAACCCAATGACCTTAAATATAATTAAATTTATATACCAGATATCGCTCTTTATATCGTATGGATCATCTCTCCAAACTTCTGGACTTGCATAATATGGTGTTCCAGTTTAAGTATAAACAAATCCCTACTTTGCTACTTTTGACACATTTAGATCTCCCAATTTGAAAGTTCCATCACTAGAAAGAAAAACATTTGCTGATTTTAAATCTCTATGGACTATCTTCTGATCATGAAGTGTTTTCAATCTAAATTAACTACAAATTCTTACCCTAAGATCATATGAATCAAAGCTATCCATATATCCTATTCTGAAAATTGTGGTCCTCCCTTTAAAGCTTAACAGATTCTACGATATACATCACCTCCAGATAAAAGTTCCATTACAGTACATAAACATTTAGATTCATCATCAAAAAATGCTTCCTATTTTTAATATTATTTATGTTTACTTTGTAGGCTACAATGTATTTGTTATTTATTGAAGCCAATAGTCTGACTTCATTTAGTGCATTTTCTTTTTCTTTTTATTTTAAAGATCCTAATTTCACTTTCTTTAATGCATATTCTTAACCATCTGCTATTCTTTTCACCTGAATGTTTAATATCAATATACCTTGTAAACTGTACTAAATGACCCTTTTCCTAACTCTTAAATTATTTAAAAGTCTTTAAGTGAAGATGTTTTAGTTTATTAAACGTTCATATTTTATTAATTTATATAATAATGCAAAAACTATCAAACCTATAAGGGATCATCGCTTCTAGTCTGTCTGTTACTCAACTCCAAAAAGGTTTTATGTTCTATTTATTTTTCTTCAGCAATTTTAATCAAATTTGAAATGAATAGTACATAAACAACAATAATTCCAGTTTATTTTATATAACTCATACTTGATCGTTCATATTAATAAACTTTCACTATAGTGTTAATAATAAGGCCTAAACAAGCTATAAAAGAAAATCTGAAATAGTCAAAAATTACAGTTTCATTATTATTTTCATTTTATATTGTGTCTGTTAATTCATCATCAAAGGGATCATGCTATTTATAATTGACATTAGTTTTCTAATTTCTGATTTCATTCTATTTTATATACAAACCATATTAGACAAGAAATACTATTCCATAAAGTAACTCTAATCCTAAAAGCACTTGATATTCTCTTTCTTTTTAGAATATCTAAAATATAGATCAAATAGAATTTACTATTCGATTTATAATCTCTAAACCTGAATTAATTGGGTAACCAAAACAAAAAAGTACTTTAAAAATAGAAATAATCTTGATAGATTATTAATCCACATTATCTTTTTTTAAATTTTACTCAAACATCACCAACCAAGTGTAAAATAAAATTGTTTGATTTATTAATTCAGTATATTCTCGATAAACTTATTGATATTTATCACCTAATATATTTTCTAATGGTAAACAATTTAACATTAAAGTCAATAAAAGTAGCTTGGTTAATGTCTATCTTCATTCTTTAGATATATTTATACATTT